AATTTGATCACGATTTAAATACAGTATTTACTTTTAATATTACCGATATGTCATCGAAAAGAAAACGTGTTGTATTATCATTAAAAGACAAATTAAAGTATTTGTTTCGATTATCCGGATTTTTCCTTATCCGGACTACCTTCATCCCCAATTAGTCCGGATAATCGAGGTTCTACTGTATTTATAACTTATAGCATGCACAAAAAAGAAAATAATGTTAGTCACATGTATTCACAATTTATAATTACAAAGATCAGCACACGTACACGTCTATTCGTTAGAGAATCATCACACATCTGAGGGTCTGATCCTGCCTTTTTTTTTTTTTAAGTGCTCGTCTTTGCTCTTCCCTTTCTCTTTTCTCTATCGCTCTAATCCACGTAAGCCCATGCATACATCACAATATGCGCTCACGATACTATCGATTCGTCACTTTTCCGTCGAAAACTTCCCATTTTACAATTACGTAGCCTGGTGATAACAGAGAGGAGACAGATAGGACATCGGTATAAGTCACAGTTATGATTTCACAGATTCGAGACAGCTTGGTCGCCCGTGCACGCTAAGTGACTTTCATTACAAGCATTTAGCTTTCGAAGTCTATGACAACAATTGTTTGGCATTGACGGCCGCGAATTTTGTGCCAATAAGCTACCTCGACTTGTTCGATTATATTATCAACTCAATTTCATATTTATTTTCACATTTTTACTTCGCGTCTTTTTCTGTTCTTTTTCCGTTATTTACACGTGTAGGTCATTTCATTGTTATTCACATTCGATATCATCATTTATCACATACAGCCATGACGCTCTTGTCTGTCCGCTACAACTGTCAAGAATTAACGCGATTGGAGAAGCGTAGTGACAATGAGCCAATAGAGAGCAGGGTCCTTGCCATAATGTGGTTTGCGCACCAATTTTCGTACGTGCGTTAATCAAGCCGAATAGTTTGGCCGAATATACTATTCGTTGCAACACTATTAGAGAGGTATAAATTTAATTCTAGTAAGACCTAGCTCACCTGTTTCTTATTGCATTGAATATGTCTTAACGTACAAGGTACTATGGAAATGAATATTCAACATATTAATGTATTTTCGTACAACTTACAAAACAAGTGAAAATGTTTTTATTTTTTGGAGGCCAAACAACAGAATTCCATTCCAAATTACAGTAAGTTATTTAAGAGATGACCACTGCTATTTATCAAATATTGGATGCTTGAAAAAAATTAAAGATGTAAGTATTTATTATGTTTTTATATAGATTCCATTAAAAATATCAACGGATTACTCTCGTATCCAAACAGTCAATTGGATAAAGCTATGGCTAGGCCGTATGGTCACGTAATAAATCTATTTCCAATTCCATACATATTCTTAGGATTTGTCACACGTAATATGCAGGGCATCATTTTCGATTCTCATACACCATATTATTGCGATTCGGTCCTCTGATAACGGGCTACCGCGGTAAGTTGGTGGTGTAACGAAGCAAAAGTGGAATTATATTTTTTGTAATAGAAATTTATTTTCTCTTTTCAAAATTTAGAAAAGAAACTTTGTTTTTCAGGCCATATACAAGATGGTGGGTTCGGTAATGAAGATGCCCGAAGACGAATCGACTCCGGAGAAGAGAACGGACAAAATCTTCCGGCAAATGGACAAAAACATGGACGGCAAACTATCCCTGGAAGAGTTCATAGAGGGCGCTAAGAGTGACCCTTCCATTGTTCGGCTGCTTCAGTGCGATCCCCAGGCTTCTCACTGACCTAAGTGATTCTTCAAGGATTTCGTCTGGCCACGCGCAGTCCTCGAAGGGGGATCGCATCCCGAAAAACACACCAGGAGATAGAATCCCAGATCTCAAAAGCCTGCTGCAAACAATTACAAAACGTAGTAAAAACAAAAAAAGAGCAACACCTAGTGCTTTATAATCATTTCGACTTGTGTCCAATGGTGAAAGGCTACCACACTAAATCATAAGAATATAAGTGTGGAATCTGCTGTTTACCATTGCTAGCTAATGCCCATATTCGACTTAAGGATTATGGGACGATTTATATTATTTTTCTCTTTGGATGTTTACTATTCACGTGTAAAGAAGTTTTACTACGATTTTTAATGTCCGTTCGTTGTTTTTAGTTGAATGCCCGACGTTTTTGACTGTTTCTTCTTTTCGTTTTCCTTCTTTTTTTAATTTTGTATACACATATAAATAACGAGTACCACTAAATTCTTGAAAAAAAATCTAGGCCAATCGGATAAATCTTCTGTGAAATTCTAGATCTAAATATTCGTCCCGAAACGTCTTTTTCTCTTTCCAAAACATCACCAAATGATCCTGTTAATACTTAATACTCAGCACTTTAAGGAATCTTTGGATGTCAGTGTTTACATAGAAACATTTAGCAGTTCTTAGAGAACCTTATTCTTCCTATATTCCAAATATGTACGTGTTAAAAAAACAAAAATCGAAATTTGTGAATGTGTGTCGAAATTCGAATCACGTTTTATTTTTGTTGTTTATTTTATTTTTTCATTTTCTTCCTCGGAAACCATACTGTGATCTCTCTCGACAATGCTTAAAGGTAGGCTGCTGCTAAAAATGGATACGCGCGAGTCACGTATTATACATTACAGAGACTAATTTCGGCGATCTTTACGAAAACGATGCTTTTTCGGCCATACTCCAAATTTAAAAGAAATTTCGATCACCTCGAAGCATCGGCGGTTTAAAAATTTGGCTAATTTGCATGTACTGTACATTTACGCATTGCACGTTTCGACAGCACCCCCGATATAATAACGAAAAGTTGAGTACACCAGGATAAATTTTTGGGGCGTGCGAGAACGGAAAATCCGTACGTTCATTTATTTTATATCGTTTCCTCCACCCGCCAGGAATATTTTGCTCGAAGAGTTTCTCTTGGTATTGTATTTTAAAAAACCACTTTCTTAACCCCGATTTAACGAATTTTTTTTTTAAATCGCGTGCAACAGGTAGGTTTATTGATTTGGTTCTAAATCATTGACAGAACTAATCGATTTATTTAATTTAGTTGTTTTGGTGGTGAATTTGATCTCCCCTCTTTCTCTCTCCATCTTCCAATACAAAGGAAAAGAAGCGAATTGTTTCTTGTTTTACAACACCAATGTGTGCGTATGCAATGGGAATTATTAATGTGAATCCGGCCGATAAGCAATGGTTTAAACGATTTATTCCAACTTTTTTGACTGTCATTTTGCATAAAATGATTTAACAAACAAACAAAAACAAATACTTTAAACGACTTTAAGCAGGTACGAAATAAAGTTGTGTTTAATCAATTATATAATATATATTATTTTTAGGATAGTTTCAAAGTTTCATTCAAACTCAATAAAATTATATTCCTATTGATAAATATTCTTCGTGAATGACTCGTAATTCCCGCTATTCGGGCCTAGAAAATTCCACGGGGAATGTGGACCTTTCCGTTTAGTGTATCGTACGCTACCGGGAATGTCGTTGGCGAGATACCGGTCGAGAACTTTGGTCAGAAACACTCGGCGCGTTTCTGGAATAGAAACAAAGTTTAAACATGAGCAAACTGCTAAAATCAATCACTTTACGGAGATAAATACAAACAACCGTCGAAGAGTGAGAAGATTAGGGGAAATTCACGGAACTCGATCGGGATCCGAACCCAAGTCCGTAAGTAGTTTGTAGAACGCCGTTTAATTACCGATATCAATAATGGGTTTGGCTTTTAAAACAGACGGTTAAATCCCGGAAATGCTACGGATTCCTATCGACGTTAGGCACTGTTAAGCCTGGACTCCACATTACCGGAATCCGCGACGTAATCGTAAAACTGAAAGCCAAACTGACGAAACTTTCAGTTTTGTAACGTTCGGTTGGACAGAAACAAGACCGAAAGCGGAGTTAAAAATTATTTAACTTTTCCGTTTTCGTCCCGCGCTTCTGTCGTACCGCAACCAATAAAAACGCAAGGATTTGTGACGCGTAGTCACGCGTAGTTTGATTGTCGTAATGGCGGAAAGTGTAGTGAAAACGATGAGGAAACAAATAGATTTGGAATTCTTCATCGAAGAAGTTATAAAATGCACATGTCTGTACGACAAAAAATGTAAATAATTCAAAGATTATTAACAATGAAATTGTTAATAAATGCAGAGAAAGCATGGCAAAATCCGTAGTGTCGTCCATGTTTGACTCTACGATAATTACAGAACTGATCAACAGATGGCGCATTTCTAGTGGTGTCGAGTTAAAACGAAAACTCTACATGTTTCAGTTGTTTCTGTTTTCAGGTAATGTGGAGTCCAGGCTTAAATTAGTCTCAGGGCCGTGCGGTAGATTTTCTAAGTATGATGCAAGTCTTTGAAATTCTACCCCTTAAATGTTTTTTATGCGGCCGCATCTCTGCATCATAGCACGGCACGGCCCTGATTAGTCTATCGCGCTTTTACTCCCGGCGGCCGTCGACAGATTTTAATTTTAGTGTATAGGAATTATGCGAAATGTAAATACAGTAAACCCCCTATAGCACGGTAGATACGTTCCGGTTTTTATGAATCCAGCTAATCACAGCCTGGCAGGTATGCAGTTTACGGACTACGCACAGTGGGGCCAAATCCCAAAAAGCTGGCCAAAAGTCAAAAGCGTTATCAATTTGGCTGAAAGTCAGTATTCGAGGGTTTTCGGGATCACTAATTACGAATCCCAAGTCAAAATTTGAAATAAAAACAAAATGACGGATTTAACACGAACCACTTTTACAGAAAAAGTACAAAATAAATCCATATATTGTTTAATACGATAAAACATACAATCAGTTGATTGAAAGTTCACGCATCATCATCCAAAGAATAATTTGATTCACAATCAGATGATTCAACTTTGAAATCGCTGGAGCTTCCCGTACTTGCTGGTATACATGGCGCAACTAACAATAAAACTGCTTCTGGAAGCAATGACTGAGTTTTTCGTGGTAATTCGCACAAACTCGAAATAAACGGATCGGATATTAATAATAGGCCTAAAATAATGTCTTCCACTGTTTTCACTCGGGAACTTTTCTTGAAAATCTTCTCGAAACTTTTTAATGTATTTATTAGTAGACTCTTGAGCGTCTTCAGACATCTGCCCTATCGGCAATACTGATGAATTTATCACTTCTGCACCACGAATCAATATCTTATGTGCCGAAGTTGGCACGCGGAACCACAGATATAACTGCACAAAGTAACGAGCTGTCTATAAGGCATAATCTTGAAATTCTATGAAATCGATTTCATGGCCACACGAAATTGTCTGCAATATGACAGGGAAACGCTTAATCGAGTCCTCGTCAACCGCTGTAATAGCGGCAGAAATGCTTGAGTTTTCGAAAAATTGTCGAGCGGTATTCTCATCATTCGAGCTACCGAAACCAGGCGTTGGTTGATCGACTATTAGACCCAATTCTATACGGAAACCCTTCTGTATATTCGTTTTTCAGAACCTTATTTCTTTATTTTCTTTATCACTATGCGCTTGCCACAGTTTGATTTCAAGCTTATATGCTACATACAAACAATATTCAAAACACCAGACAATTCAAGAAAAAGAGCAAAACATTCCGCGTCATTAATGTACAAAATTCAGAAAACTATGTTTTACATTGCGAGAACACGCACCAATGACACAGTTGCAGCTGGTTGCAGCTAGTTTTAATTTTTTTCATTCAATAATAGTTCGATCTACAACATGCGATCGGTCCAGTCGCAGAACTCTACAGAATTTATGAACTTTTCTCTACGTGTTTAAAATTTTCTGTTGTAATCTTCCGTTCATTTTCGTACAAATCATTCGTTTACTGTTATCACATAAAGTATTATTATCAATTTTGTGTTACATAATGATATTCTACTTACTTGCAGCTGCAAATTCCATTTTTTAAATTTAAATTCGATTGATTTTTAGAGATTTGGCACCCTCTTGAATATAGCGTAGAAATCTTTGCTTACTGCATGACGCGTCTAGCTCGATTGAGGGTCCCCTTTCAACT